ACACCCACTGCTCCCATATCTCATGCTCTCCCTGACGCCCATCACCCGGTTACCGCATCCCCCCACCCACCTCCCTTCCAGCAACCCTCAGTTTGCTTCCTACATCTAAGAGTCTCCCATGATTTGTCTCCCTGATTTCTTCCCTTTCAGTTTTCCCTTCTTTCCCCTATGATCCTCTGCACTACTTCCTATATTCCACATATAAGTGAAACCATAGAATTATCTTTCTCTGATTGACTTACTTTGCTCTGCATAATACCCTCCAGTTCCATCCACGTCGATGTAAATGGTAAGAGTTCATCCTTTTTGATGGCTGAGCAATATCAGGATGTTTCTTAAAAATACAAATTCCTGGGACTGACTCCAGACCTATTGAAACAATCTCCCAAGGGAGAAGCTGGACTTCTGCCTTTAAGCAGATTTCCTGGGTGATTTTTTTTTTTAATCTTTATTTTTTAGAGAAAGAGAAAGAGAGAGCATGAGCCAGGTGGGAATGTGGGAGAAGAGGGAGGGAGAGAGAATCCTAAGCAGGCTCCATGCCCAGTGCAGAGCCCAACACGAGGCTCCATCTCACGACCCTGAGATCATCACCTGAGCCAAAATCAAGAGTTGGACACCTAACCAACTAAGCCATTTCTGGGTGATTCTTAAAGCACACTAAATTTTAAATCCACCAGACAGCTTCGTCAGTTCATTTACTGATGTATCCAAGTGCCTAGAACAGCAACTGACACAGCTCAATAAATACCTGTTGAATGAATGAAGGCCTTATGTGTTTGAGGCACTTGGAAGCTCCAGTTATGGTTTTCTTCCACACCATCTAATCCACAATGCTGTCACACAGCAAGTATAACGTCATATTCCACAAGGGATCTCCTAGCTAGGCTGCGGGGGAGGGGAAGCTCTCCCATCCCTGCCCAACAGCGTCAACAAATTGTCCCCACCTTAACAGGTGCCTATATAGGTACCACCCTGCCTCTACTTAACCGCAAAAGCTGTGACAGAGACCTGTCTCATAGCTTTGCATCCTTAAAAAATAAAAATGGAAAAAAAGGGAATAAAAATAATTCAGACATAAGTAGGACAGCCTGTGAGTAACTCTCTACTCATCTCCCATAACTGAAGCTAGGCAAACTTCGATAAGCCATAGTTTTATTTGTAGGCAGAATAGCCAAGGAATCAAGTTCCCTTCCTAATCATTCCAACCACAGGAAAGAGAAGATGGGGGAAATGCAACCTTGCTTTTGTATATACAACGTGCTAAGACTATATTTAATGATTTATTAGGAAACCACTGCATCCTTAACAGGTAGATGGATAAAGAAATTGGTACATCTGTACAATAGAACACTACTCAGCAATAAAAACTATTGATACACACACCACCTGGAACTCAAAATGCATTATGTAAATGGAAAAAAGCTAACCTCAAAAGATTAGGTACTGTATGATATTCTTTATAGGACACTCAGGAAAAGGCAAAACTATAGGGAGCGGGCAGAGAACAGTGGTTACCTGATTAGGGTGAGGAATGGGGGACAAGTTTAACTACAAAAGGATAGCACAAGGGAATTTTTGGGGGTGATGGAACAATTCTCTATCCTGATTGAGGTGGTAATTACAGGAATCTATGCATGTGTTAAAACCCGTAAGAACTGTACACCAAATAAAGCTAATTTACTGTATATGAACTATTAAAAAAAAAAAACCATTGGAGGCGCCTGGGTGGCTCAGTCGTGAGGGGTCTGCCTTCGGCTCAGGTCATGATCCCAGCGTCCTGGGATCGAGCCCCGCATCGGGCTCCCTGCTCCGCGGGAAGCCTGCTCCTCCCTCTCCCACTCCCCCTGCTGGTGTTCCCTCTCTAATAAATAAATAAATAAAATCTTTAAACAAACAAACAAAAAAACCCATTGCACATACAACATAAACTCATTAGGTCTCTGAGACACTCTCCTTGATCAGTTTATCAGGGTGGGAAATGTGACCAACTGGTCTTGGGACTATACATGAAAGTGAGGGAACACTGCTATACCGTATGGTTTAGGCTAAGTATACCTACCTGGTACCAAATTTAGCATTTTATAAACTGGAAACCATTTTGTAGAAAATTCCTTTATTATAGTGCAAATAACTTTCAGCAGTGACATAATAATGTAAGAACACATTTAGCAACATTTTACACCACGCAGTAAATAAGAAAGTGTTTCTTTGAAAATACGTCATCATAAGAACATTATTCCTACATTAATGCCGGAAAATGCCGAGACTGTTTCTCTCAAGGCAACAGGGCTCCCTCCCTCTTTTTGGATATTTCCTTCTTAATAGAAATGAAAGGATTTGCCATTTTAACAAGCCACCATCATTTCCCAGAGTGACTTCTTAGGGGGTTTTGAACTGAGGTTGGCAAGATTTGAAATGGGGTTTCAGATTTTAAAAAAATAATAATTTTAAGACAATTCTGGGACAGCCCAGAAAGTAGAAGTCACTTCTATTAAAGTAGATATATACATTCACTCGAATTTTGATGCAGAAATGGACAGATTGTCTAAAGCCTGCCTTTTATTCCCCCAGAGCCTGATTGTTATTTATACTCCTTGGTTTTGGTCACGTTGCAAAATTAGGGCTCTGGTCAGAAATAACTCCTTACATACCCAAATGCTTTCCTGTGAAACTTTAAATTGCACTTTCCACCCTGAATTCCCACCTTAGACCTCACATGCCAATGAGAGGCGAGAACATTGTTTCTAGTTTACAGCTAATGAGTAACACAGCCCACCCCCCTGCTAATTGAGCTATACCTGAATCAAACCATCACATCATTTAGATTAATTCCAACAGGCTTAACCAAGAGGTTCCCACTGGGCCTCCCAGAGAAAGGAAGGGTTAACAGTGTATCTTTACACCGAGCTGCCTAACGGCTTGGCAGCTAAGCGGTTAGCTGATAGGTAGAGAGAACAGTGTCACTTCCAATTAGTCACAAGCCCAGCTCCTCTGGTTTCTGCTGAATTATGCAGTGTGTGGGGATGGAGGGCCACTCAAAGGAAACCTCCTGTGGGGGCGGGGGGGTCTTCCACCAAAACCCCTACAAATACGGTTCAGGGTACCCTCGAAGTGTCCGCACGAACACGCCTCAAAATCTAGTGGCTTTCTAAACCACGAGAAGTGAATCACAGGCTTGAAAATACCTGGAGCCAAAGAACAGCCCTCTTGGCTGAATATGGCTGATTAAGTCAGCTGGTACATAAAGCTTTTCAATGCGCAGCCAGTCTTGTTGGATAAGGTTATCTTCTTCTATAACACAATGGAACTGTGCTAAATAGTTTCAAAGTTGAGAAGTACCCAAATATATCACCTATAAAAAAATTCACGATTTTAGTTTGCTTTTTTCTTAGACTTTGGTACTGAAACACTGTCTACATTCTCGACACGTGAAAACGACGTGGCCACTTCCGTGCCTCTGCATGTTGTGTAAAAAAACTCAAAAGCAAAGCACGACAAGGACGTGTCATAACGTGACGCAGTATGCTGTGCAAACAAAACCTAAATTGTATATAAATACATCCCCACCCCAGATCCCCCTTGTCCCTCCCCACTACCTGACCAAAGCAATGCCAAGGCTCCTTCTCTCCAGGGCCAGCGCAGTTTGTGAAGCCCGGCACCCAGGACTCCAGCCATCCCTTGCCGTACGGTGATATTCACACCACTGCAGCCTCCTCCTGGAGATGCTCTGCTGTCCCATCAGCTCCGCAAACGCAGGGAAACTCCTACAGCTTAATTTGAAACATTCACACTATGGGCTGGACTCCAGGGATCTGGAGTTCTGGGAGTTAACCTTCCAGATAAACTAATTGGATCATTTCCTAATCTGGATTCCCCCTTATCCTAATGTCTCAGCACAGCTAACACAGTAGGAAGCATCCTCTCCTCTGAAGTTCCAAAGGCATTGCTTAGAGATACTGGTGAGGGTCACATAATAAAAGTAATACAATGAGCTAACAGCTTAAGTTGATATACATTATTTCCAAGTAAGTTATCTGGGGCCATTTGCTTCTGCTTTACACTGCATTCCAGAATCATAGTATACTTTTGAAAGTTTATATAATAGTTATTTTAAAAATTGTCTCCGCAATCACCTCTTACATGTTTTCAGTTAGTTTAATAACAACTTAACAAGCTGTTATAAAGACCTAGGGAAAAGTAGTTAATTTAGTCTTAAGGAAGTCAATACTGTGCTAATTCACAGTAAAGAGAAAACGTGATATAAATAGAATTTATGTAATCGTCGATTACTTGAAGGGCAGTTTTATCAAAATGTTGCAAACTTTTCCCAAAAGCACTTACAGCAATTTATATCAAGAGAACCTAAGTTTAGGGGTATGGAAGATAACAACTCTTTCATGACTGTAATATGTAATTTTCCCCTTTGGACCTAAGATATCTGTACATTCAGAAGTTCGTAACTTGCTGTTTTTGAGACGTTAATCATTCTCTAATACGTACACTGAGTATAAATAAATAACTACGAGAAAGCTTTAAAAATCTGAATTAACGTTATGCTGTGCAAAAACCAAAAAACAAGAATAAATCCAAAACAAAACCGACCAAACCCTGAACAACCTACATTCTATGTAAATACCCTGACTAAAATGTTGGTTGTGCTACACACTTCACTTCACTTCAGTGCAGAAATGAGTTGATTTCGGTGTACCATCTTTGTTGGCGGTGGTGTTAAGTCTTAAGCACTTTTGTTTCTAAGTATTCCCTTGCTTTGAAAAGATGAATAACTTGCTACCAAATCACAAATTATCACAAATCCATGTCAGTTTAGTCTGAATAAAATCCAGCATAAATGTATTACTTTGTTCTGGAAATAATGGCTCGGTGTCTTTGTTCTGACAGCTTCCTAAGGGCAAACCACAGTTTGAAGTTGACGTTTTGGGTTTAAACTGCACAGAAAGAAGAGACAGTGAAGCCTGCTTTTTGTTTTTGTTTTCTTTTTAAGTCTCCAGGTCTGGCTGGGACACTTCTTCCAGACCCACAGTCAGATAATTGTGGCACCTGATCCTATTTGAAATAGAGGTGGTTTAAACAGCATCAACCAAGCTTAGTGATCTGGAGGTCCCCGTTTATCTTTATGGTGTCGATTGCAGATAACGTCTGAATGCGGTGGTAGAAATCAAAAAGTTGGTGTCCATCCACAAACACTCTGAAACGTGGGTGCTCACAGAGAATTTCCACCTGGAAGAAACAAAATCATAAGCTCAATTCACAATTTCAGTGAACCCTGATGGGGAGAACAAACACACAATACTTCACTTTAGAGAAAGGCAACATCTTCAGTGGTTCTCAAACCTTGGAATCATACAGAAGTGCAACACAGGCTGCTGGACGCCTCGCCCCCAAAATTTTCGATTTAGTAGGTCTAGGGTAAGATCTAAGAATCTGCATTTGCATCACGTTCTAACATGATGCTGCTATTGCTGGAATGAGGAACACACCTTGTGAACCACTGTTCTTCACTCTTCACTATCCTTTAAAGATTTTAATTGTTCATGCTTGACCACTTCTCCGTTCTCTTTGTACTCCGGAAAGTAACGTAAAGCAGCACAGATTTATTTATATGGCACTTAAGGCCTCCGTGGTCATCCCCTGAACCTATCCCACCCTCAGAGGAGACCGTCGCAGAGATAAACTGGTACCCACTTAGAAGCATGTAATAACAGTCTAGGCATTTAACCATGGTAAACACTAAAGCAGAGAGAAGGTTACACAGTAATTACCACTGGATCAAGGATGTGTAATTAACAAGGCTTTGTTAAGCCAAACAGAAATGCTGATTCCATAAAGCTTTTTCTTCCTCTTTTCCTTAAGTAATTCACCATAGATTTTAATCACTGGTTCTGTGCTATGTATTTATTAAAAGCATTGGTGGCCACCATATAAGAAGAGACTTCATATGTGATATTAGTCACATTTAATTCATATTATTACTAAAATTATATCACCAAGAAGGGCTGATTTCATTTCAGTTTGGTTGTTGGGGAGCATTATATTCCTCTTGGCAGACAGAAGCTCTGGTTACTCATACTCATGAGCTACGCATTAAGATTCATCATTAAGAAACTGTCACAGTCAAAAAAAAAAAAAGAAAGAAAGAAAGAAACTGTCACAGTCAAGAGGAGCCTAAGGGGCCATTATCATTCTAGAGAAGGGGGAGGGCATGGGTAATATGTACGGGTACCTTCCCCAGACTATAATTAGAAGGGCAACAATCTCAATTCTATCACTGACATAAAAGTCATGGATTCTTATCCCCCCCCCACCAGATGTTATGATGAGAAGAAAAATTACTACTTCTTCATAAGGCCCTTGTAAATGTCTAGATAAAGAGCAACAGGTTAAGGGTAGTTGTGCTTTATTAGGCATATATGCAACATGGAGCTCTTCACTGAGCTGTTATTATCGCGATGTATGTTAACAAGGTGTAATACAAACAACTTCATCACCAGGCCTGGTATTTCAATAAATCCTTTCCTAACACATTACCCACATTACTTGCATCTTTTACTCGGCACTTCATAAGGAAGGTGCTAACTAATAACTAACATCGCTTGGCTGGATGGGAAGTTTGGGTTGTGCTTCCTGCCCACTACATAGTGGAGAGCCAAGTTATACCCATCTGGGCCCAGGGGAAGGAATCTGTCAGCCACACGGCCTGTGACAATAAAACAGACTGAGGCTTCTTAACCCAGAGGGAGACACAAGGACCAGACCTCATTAGCAAAAGTAACAAGAGAAAATGAAAAGATTATCACTATTGTTCTTAAAAAAAAGTCACCACTAATAAGGTTTAAGGCTCCTTATAGGTTGAAAAAAAATGAGGAAATTTCTAGCACTTATTATTTATTAATCAATCAGGATATTTTGGGACAGGTATAAATTACGTGCCTAGTACTAGGTTGAGTACTACATAGAAAAGTATTTATTCTTAACAATCTGGACATGGGTTTATTTACTAAATGTACTGGCTAAACAGAGCCAAGAGCTACTATGATGAGTATCAGTTTGTATCAGCAAACAGAGCTCTTTTGATCATTTTTCTTTTTTTCACCATCAGGTGACAAATTTCCTAGACATGCAAAAATTCTGGCTGCTTAAAGCATTCTTGGCATACGCTGGAGGAGCAGAGCACCATCACCCCACCAGTGGCTGCAGTGGAAGCGCTCTAGGTACTCACCCTGAACGGCTGGTCTGGGATGAATGGAAAGTAAGGGATTGCAGATTGTTCTTCACCTCTTTCGCCAGATATACAAGAATTTCTGAGTAGTTGCCGGTCTGTGAACACAGCTTTGAGTTCAATGGCCACGTCGGCGGGAGGGTCTTCGGAGTCACCACAGGTCAAGCTGATGGCAAAGCTGAAAAGAACATCGTTTCATTTATTCTGGGTTTGGCTACCATCGACCCAGGCTCCCATGGTTCCTCTTTCTCCTTGGGGTTTGTCTGCTTTGAATGGGCCACTACTCTTTCCATAGGAGATGAGACTATGTCTGGAGGAGGAGGATTACAATCAAGCCCGGTATTTATTTATTTATTTAATTAATTAATTTATTTATCTTTAAGAATTTATTTATTTGACAGAGAGAGACACAGCGAGAGAGGGAACACAAGCAGGGGGTGTGGGAGAGGGAGAAGCAGGCTCCCCGCTGAGCAGGGAGCCTGACGCTGGGCTCGATCTCAGGACCCTGGGATCATGACCTGAGCCGAAGGCAGAGGCTTAATGACTGAGCCACCCAGGTGCCCCCAAGCCAGGTATTTTAATACTGAAAGGAGACTCTGGTAAGAACTTCGGTGGAGTTGAACATGACTAACATTAGGGATTTCAGATACCCCAAACCACCCACACATCTGTGTCTTAATCCATTTCAGAATTCTCAAAAACAGCCCCAGAAATTGACCGGAGGAAATAATATCTTGTAATATTTGCTTGTCATTTATATTGGTAGATCTTGCTCCAAGCACCATGTTTAAAAACCCTTAAAAAAAAATCCTTTGGCTTACTCAAGGGTCAAAGAGAAAATGATGTGGACCTATATTTATAATCTCTGATATAAATAGCTGTCTGGAGAAATGATGGCTGGGATTCATACACATTCTTTTCATGGGAATGTGGTACTTTCTTGGCACTTCCAACTAGCAACACTGGCCACAGGGAGAAGAGGAGGAGCAAGCAACCACAACAAGAGTGGGCAGGGCCTTGTAACTGCCCGATAAGCTTTGGGGGTGACAAGGACTCTCTGGCTTACCTCTCTGGGTTGAGGTCTACAATGCCCATCACCAACACCTTCTTGCCTGGTCTCATGCCACCTTTAATGTGCCCACAAAATGGAACTATCTGCAAAGGAGCACAGGAGAAACAGGAAGTTTACCGCCTGTCCGGGAAGAGCCAAGCCCTCAGATCCTGAGGACCTGACCCATCAGAAAATGCAATTAGAAAGGAAAAAGGTGCAGGCAGAGACACAGAGCCCAGAACGAAATCACTTACCAGGCGTGGGAAGTACACGTCGGCTTGAACTGGAGAGCCCAAGGAGTTGTTTAAATGCCCATCATCTAGTTTCTAAAAATAGCAGCACACAGATTGGCTTTCCAGAGGCTCTAGTTTTAGGGGGCGTGGGGGCTGGGAGGAGAAGGGGAGGGAGTGGGGAAGCACCTATACAAATCTGGCTGAATCCAGCAGCCTTCACAGGACACAGGCAGCGTCTGCAGATGCTGCCACCTCACAGCCCATTGAATAACCGCATAAAGCCCGGGAACAAAACCCGTCCTTTCCACCCGGTAGCTCAGCTTCTGAAGATCCCCAGACCTTCAGATCTAGATCAAAATCCAGGTCGAGGCACGCCTGAGAGCCAGAGCCCCGCGTCGGAGGAGGGGAGGCCCCTCTTCAACCACAAACGCCTCCGGACCCGCAGGCGCCCAGGCCTGTCCTGAGGGATCTGGCTGGGGTGCAGGGCCGTGCTCAACTTCTCTCGGGGGCCCTGGGGCCAGACCCATTTCCAAGGGGGAATCCCCGGGACGTCGGAGGCGGCCGCGGGGCGCGCGCCCCAGACACACTCGCACAAGCGCACACTCACACGTGCAACGTGCACACACCTGGCCGCCGGCTGCATGGCACCGCGGGGTCAGTCGGTCACCCCCACGCCGCCGTCCGCCCCCATGCTCCCTCTCTCCGGTGCACCCGGGGCACCCCGCTTGCCCCCCAGGCCGGCCGCTCACAGCCGGCGCTCGCTAACAGGTACCGGGCGCCTTCCCACGCGGGGGACGCCGGGCTGGGCCTCAGCCTCGTCTGCGCCGCAGCCAGGCTGAGCAGGCGGCGGCGTGCGGGGCCGCGGGAAAGGGGCGCCTCGTGTGCACCCTTCCGCACTCACCACCGCAGTATCGCTGTCGGCCACCGATCCCGCCATCTTCTTGCACGGCGCGCCGGGGTGCACGGCTGGCGGCCCCGCGGCGGCGGCGGCGGCGGCGGCGGCGGCGG